GTACTTATACTTATAATTCAAATGATGTTAACTCACATGCATTTAATATAATTAAACCCATCTGCTATTTATTTGCCCAACTTATGAAATGATATATTCTTTTGTAAATCAGCAGCATCCTCTTCACAGCTAGCAACACCAAAGACCTAAATATCATCTGCAAATTGAAGTAATTATTGACTATTCCTTCATCTATGTCATTGATGTAAATCAAAAAGAGCAAAGGTTCCTAAGAATGAGCTCTGAGGTACTCCACTTGTAACATTAATCCAATATGACTCCATTATAATAATCCTTAGCTTTTTTCCATACAGAACTTGTCTATACAATTAGCTAACTTAACCCCAACACCTATTGAGATCTTTTTTTTACAAGCCTTTTTTGAGGCAACTTTTCAAATGCTTTCTGAAAATCCAGATATACCAAATCTACACCATTACCCTCATCTACATAAGCCATAACCTTTTCAAAGAATGTCATAGATTTGTAATGCAAGATTTTCCCTTAGTGAAACCATGACTACCCAATAAAATTCTAAAACATTTCCCACAACTGATGTAAGATTAATGGGCCTATAATTACTGGGACAATTTTATCACCTCCTTTGAAGAGGGTAGTGATGTTAGCTAACTTCCAATCCTTTGGAACCTGCCCACTATTCAAGGACTACAAAAAATATTAGCAAGTGGCTCACATATCCAATCCTTAACCTCCTTGAAAACCCTTGAAGAAATATCTGGCTCAGGAGCCTAATCTTTCTTTAAATGTCCTAATTTGCTCATAACAAGCTCAGAATTAATGCTGTCATCTTGTTTCCACCTGACAAATGTTCAAGGTGTAGAATACTGCTTAAATCTTCATTAGTAAAAAACTAAAGAAAAAGCAGAATCTAATAACCCAGCCATCTAATAATCCTCACATACGAGCCTTATTTTTTCATCCCTCAAGAGTCCTACCCCCCTCCTAACATTTTGTTTCCCCTTAATGTATTTAAAGAAATCCTTACTGATAATTTTTACATTTCCAGCCAACCTTTTTTCATACATCCTTTTTGATGTCCTAATTTCCTATTTGACCAGCTGTCTTGATCTTCTATAATCTTCTAAATCTCCCCTCATATCAATCAATTTAAATTTCTTAAATTTGTGATGCCTTTCTTTAATTTTATCTCCTATACTCTACATGACCGAACCTGGTTTTTTTTACTTGCAGCCACTGTTTTCTTTCTATAAGGAATATGTTTATCTTGAATATTTAAAAATTTTCTACACTTGATCAGTTTCTCCATATAACTCAGCTTCCCAATTCACAAGAGATGATTCTTGTCACATCCCTTCAATATTTGTTTTTTCGAAATTTGTAACTAAAATATCATTATTCCTTATCTCCATATGCAGCGAAACATCGAACCTATTAGAGTAATGATCACTTGCACCAGGATGTTCCCCAATTTTCACCCTCTTAATAATAAATTTAAAATAGTATTGTTTCTAGTAGGTTCCTTGACCAATTGGTGAAGAAAACCATCTTGACAAAAACCTTTCTCCCTCGTGGTTTGACTTTAGCATTTCCCATTCGATATGGCTGAAATTAAAATCACCCATAATTATGATCTCATTAACAGTTGAAATCTTAATATCACTGTAAAGTTTCTCACTAATTTCATCAGTATTATCCGGTGATCTGTAACAAATTCCTGCTAAAAGACTATATCTGCTAATAGAAACCCAAATGGATTCAATCTCTTTGCTATTATCTTTGATATCCTAAACTTCAACAGGATGCAACTTTATATTTAGAAATTTCTATCATCAAAATTATCTACATTTAACCATGTTTCAGTTGTTTCCATTATATCAATATCCTCCATTCCTACCAGTTCCCTTAAGTCATCTATTTTATTTCTTATACTTATAGCATTACAAAAGAAACAATTAAGCTTATCCTTAGAACTTTTTCTGTACTTATTTCCTGTGCCAAACTTTTCTTTACATCTTATGTTTTTTTGCATTTAGTTTATCTTGGCCCTCACCACTGTCTAGTCCTAGTTTAAATCTTCCCTTAAGGCTGATTTAATAACTCTTGCAAACAAGCCAGACCCTACTCTGTTTAAATGTAAACCATCCATTCTAAAAAGCTCCCTTCTCCTATTGAACTGATCCACAAGTTCAACCAGCCAATCTGCTCATCCTTGTATATGAACATAAGTCTAGAATCTCAAAAGTTCATAACAGTAGATGTGTGGCATTCAAAATAAAACTATTTCTACCTTAATTAAGTAAAAAAATAAAAAACATTTAAACATTAATATGAATAAAAAAACAACGAAATGGTTTCAAGAGATGTGTGAGGCAGTCCCACTACTCGCTGGAAAAGAGTAAGTCAACAGTTGGTAGTGGGTGGTGTTGACTACTGTTGCCTTCCCTTTAGCTAGCCTGTCATTTCAACATTAGAGACAGCAAGTGCAGATAATTCTCAAGTAACTTTGCACAAAATTGAAACAAGCAAACAAACAAGAGGTTGAAAACTCCAAGAAGTTTCAGTCTTTGGAAGGTATATTTAGAAATTATGGTAGAGAACAAAGAACTTCTGGTAATTTTTCTTAATAAATAACTTTTATCAGCTTGCATGAACATCAGTTGAAGAAATTACTCTAATTTGACCAAGTGTTACTTGAAGTAAAGGAGGTTTGACTCTAAAAGTTGGACAAACACGCCATCACAAGAAAAGGATTAAATCAGGAACAAACAAAATCAATCATCTGAAGTAGGAACTGAAGTTATGAACCTTATGGTTTAGAGGAAGAGAAAGTTTCACCTTTTATTACAATAATAAAAAAAGTTCAATTAAATTATAATTAATTAAAAATGCTAAGGATAGATTAGTTTCTTGCAAGAGAAACACAATCCAAATCCACTGAAGGTTTCATAGTATTCAAGTTGAAAATCACAAGAAGAACTAACAAAATCCTTAAACGACTGGAGTCAGGTGAGTTACAAGATCTAGTGATCTAAGTAATAAGATACGTTTATACATATTTCATGGGTAAGTTTTGCACTTTCATTGACACCAAAGCTTGTTGCATTTTGTTTTGAACTTAATGTGTATTGGCAAAGATGCATGTACCCTACCGATGATTGTTTGTACATTGAAATTTGTTTTACTTTCCTAATTTATATGAAAAAATGTTTAAAACATGTGCAGCCTAATTAATGTGAAGATAGACATTCACAGTAATTGAGAAAAAATTGTATGAACACAAAAACTTGAAGAATTAATAGAATGTTTTAGACAAGAAATATGTGTTATGAAACTATTTTCAGATTTTATTGGTCTAGAGGAAATATTGTAATTAGTCTTAAGTATTTTTGGAAAATTCTTATTCTGTATATGTTTCTAGGAGTTAAACATGGATCCACAGGTGAAAGAACTACTTACAAATGCAGGGGCTGTAGATTATATCACTTTGTTTGCTACAAAAGAGATCTCAAAAGACAAGCTCATCAGCATGACAGAAAATGACTTAAGTAAGGTAAGTACTGGATTTGATGTGTCACATTTATGGTCTTATTGTCATACACAGGTACATCTTGTGAATGATTCATATTAACTTAAGACACAGAATCATGTACATGAAGTAACAGTCTGTAATATGGAGTAAAATTTTAATTATCATGTAATTATAAAGAAAGTTATACAAAATTTCAGTGAATTACTGTCCAAAATTACTTACTGAGCATTGTTGCCATTTGTAGGTTGCTCTTATCTTGTACTATAAAAAATTAATAATGTTTTCAATTGAAGTTGTACATGAAACATTTTTATAATAGTTAAGAAACGTTTTTAAGTAACATGATATTATTACTAAAATAGCTAAAGAAAAGAAAAAGTTTGTTTGATGGTAGTATTAGAAATGGTGATGGTTAATTCTGACATGAATCCTGTGTTTTTCACGGATTAATAAAAGGTTGAAAACTGAACAGTAATGACAAGCTTAAATTGGTTAATTCGACTTGAATAGTGAAAAAATAGTGAGTTAGATAAAATACAAAATGAAGAATTCATTCTTATCCTGAAATTACCAGCTTGTTTTTATATCAATCACTATTGGTGGGATCAAGTTATTGCATGTTATCGAGTAATTTCAATTTTTTCTGCTACAACTTTTAGGATAAAGAACTGACTAACAAAATTGAATGAAATTACTCATTTTCTATGTAAAATAGACTGGGAATTTCATCAGTAATTATTGAATTAATTGCATTATTGATCATTTTTTTTTACGTATATTTTATGTAATATTAACTATGTCACTAGGGGCCCTGTAATCAACAAAGTCAAGGACTCTCAAACAGTCTAATGCATAAACAGTTTACAGTGTGTTTAAAAAGCCAATGTGGTCCATATTTATTTCGAGGGCTAAGATAATAATTAGGAAATATGTGAGTTTGCCTTTTACTCTAACATCCTCATATATAATCTAATGTGTCATCTCTTTAAAAAAAATACAAAATACATTATAATACATTAAGAGTTTAAAAAACACAAGATGATAATATGAATCTACATTAACTACTGAGGTGCAGTATATGTATTAAAAATTAAAAGAAATACATTGATATAACTTTTCATGTTACTAGACTTTATATTATATATTAGTGGTGCAGGGTGAATGAAATCACTCATTGGATGAACTCTTTAAGGATAATCCCACCAGCAACACTAAATATGTTTGTACTTTTTTCAGCAAGAATAGTGCAATTTCATGTTGATAAGTAAAATTAATGCTAATTCTCTCAATATGAATAATGAATACAAAGTTGAAAGTGCTTGAAACTGCAGTCCTCAGTTAATCAAGAAATTATTTAACATGAGCAAGAATAATAGGTAGGCAGACGATGATTTATAGCCATAAGGAAGAGTTTTATTGCTGGTGGAACATGGTAAATGTTTCGACAAAACCTTGGTCTGTCTGAAGAAGCAAGTTTAATATTAGGAATTTTGTCAAGATGTTTCTAACTAACTGGTAGGATATGACTCTTACATAAATGCCAAACTTATACTTGGAGAATTGTAAATCTTCCAGTTATTTTAAATATGATGTGTCTGTCAAGATTTGGGAAAATTTAAGACTGTATAGACTGAGATTGTGACAGCACTGAGAAAGTTATGAGTTTGTTCAGATGTATAAGAAATCTAGTGCCTATAACCACAGTATAAAATTAATGCATGCCCTCTACCAAATGCTCTGAAAAATCATGTTGAGCACATAAAAGTGTAAAAGATGTTACCAGTGTGCATGAAAGTATTGCACCAGAGATCATCTCATACTAGATAAAACAACACTGTGATTTCACAGTTCAAAACCTTTTCAAATGCAGGGTTCCTTTTATTTATTATTTGATATTGATTAGGCTAATCTCTGCTAAATTTCTAATGGAACTGTTGTCCAACCAGGATTTGTATTTTCATTTTAAATACCTTACCTTACTTTGGCTAATGCTAGTTAATAAATTTATGTGAGAGCCTGTATAGATTATAATAGCAATTATATTTTGCTTATTAGTAAAACTAATGTGAAGTTTATGCATATGCTACTTTCTGATGTATTTAAAGTTTCAAATAAATATTGTATATATTATACAGTGCTTGAAATGGGGAAGAAGAGGAAGCAGGATGGCTTGCGAACTTTTTGATGCTGAAAACAAATGGTGAAGTGGTTAGGGTAGAAAAAATAAATAAAATATAAAGTTTTCCTGAAAAAATATGTTTGATATTTATTTAGGAGGTTTAAGAGATTATGCAAATATAAATTTGACAGTTTTTGGATGAGGAAAATAATTTTTTACCTAAACATAAAAATCACTTTGCACTCAAAGTAGTCAACACTCCTACTATATATATTTAGGGACAGATTTTTAGTAAAAATACTTAATTAAAAATTATGATTTTTTTTGTCTACAAAGGACTCGTAGTATTTATTGAAAGCTTGCAGATTTTGTGAAGATACACATACTCTGGTAAAAGCTATAGTGTGAAAACTCTGAGGGTAACTTTGTGGTTACGAACTTAGTCACAACAATTAAGCCCATAGTAAGAGGGTTTATTCGCTCCATTTGTGTACTACTTTGTCTGCTTCCTGCCTTGCTCTTACATGAAATTTTAAGAAAATATATATAGTTTATCTCCCCAGTCCTTTGCATCATATATTGAACTGTTCCCTTCTGAGAAGCTTAGAGCCCTGACCACTGCTCAGAGTGGTGCATTAGCGAATTAGACTGTTTACAGAAAGTGGGAGTGTAAAAACTTGTGTGACTCTATGTGTTGCACTTTATTTCATTGCTGCTTTGTGTCGCATCTTGTTGCCTGTACTGGTGCAAAAGGGAGAAGAAAGAGAGGGTAAGATATTTGGTGTAATCCTAGACATCTGTAAAACTGAGGCAATTTGAAATCTACTAAAAGGTACCAGGATGGCTTTGGGCCCTCCTGAAAAGAAGTAGGATTACATCTAACCATGTACCTCCCCATTTCAAGCATTGTGTGTATATATATATATATATATTTATTTATTTATTTATTCATTTTATAATTGTACATGTATAATATTTTTAAATATTACTGGCCTTATACTATATTCAGAACTAGACTTATATTAATTGCAGTAGCATTAAAACATTCAATACAGGTATCCTAATGTCAGTCAGAAGACCATCTAGATGTGGGTCCTAACAATATTAATGGAAGCTTAATTGAAAGTTGGAGCTCTAAGCTATGCATGCATATAATGCCTTACATGTAGTATCACTACTACAGTTTGGTTTCCTGTTAGTATACAACTCCATAAGTTTATGCAATCCAACCACTAGATTTAGGCCTACATCTAAAATAAATAATAATGTACATGTCCTTATGTGACCTCAATTGGATATTTATGTTCATGACTTCTTAGATACAAATGTACATCTGTTTATATCTAGGTTAACTATAGCCTACTAAACTTTTCGTTTTATTCATATAGGTGTATTTGACAAGTGTAGAAAAACTTTTATGTTGTATTCCTGGTTCACTGACTTGCCTTTGGGTAATTGGGTAAGAACCTCAGTATAATGAAGAGTTGCCAGAAAATTTATCATTGAGCAAAAATATGAACTCTTTGACCTAGACTGCTTTAAAGCAGATAGATAGACTGGACACAGTGTAAAACACAGTAAAATTAGTCTTTATTCATTTCACAAAAAGTAAATATAGTTAAATGCAACTAGTAAAAATAGTTAAATGCATAGCCTATAAAGACAAAAAAATTGAAGAATAGGCTACCAAATTGCCAAGTTTTATATATTTTTATTTCTAGAAGATGATGATTCAAACATCATCCTACAGAAACAAAAACAAATAAAATTTGGTGATTTTGTAATCTATTCTTTTATTCATTTCACGAACAAAGGTATGCAAGTGTATATTTTGAATGCCTTTGCTGGAGAGCTCTCTAGTGTTATCTCAAACCTATCTGTAAATTTGTTAAAATGTGTCTCAGTCATGTCCTAAACTGAGAAAACGTGGCATTACATAGAAAATACAAAACATTGCCATTTTTTTCATGTTGCATGCAATACATGTGACTGACAGTCACTTTAGCTCAAAATAAGGAATGTTGTATCTTTGGCTCATCTGTAGAAAAAATATAACTGTCTATTTCTATACACTATCTTTCCACTGAGAAAATACATGTAACACTCTCATTTAATGATTGTTGGGTAACTATAGGTGAAAGGAACTAAATGGTTTCCTTCACCAATATTCTGTATTAATTAAGACTGTACTCAATACACAGGGATTTTTTTTGCTATTAAACAAGGGAGTCAGAATCATATAGTATATTGGCATCCAACAACCACACAAAGAATCTACAATCTAAAACAAAAAGAATAGAAAATGGAGGTAATAGTAGTGCTCGTAAAAGTGTTTGGTGGTGGTAGTAGATATGAAGTTGGTTGTGATAATTTGGGGTATTTACTGTAAATACTCATGTATTTGAAAAGAAAGTTAACAACAAATGGAAAGTTACAATGTTTAGGTATGAATGTTTTATTAGCATCCAAAAATCTCTTGTGACACCTAAGAGGTGGCACTTCAAAAAAATCAATCTTGTGTTCTGATTAAAATAGGTATCTTATTTAAATTAACTAATAGCTAAGAAAATAAATATTTTTGCATATTAATTTATTCCAGTTTTTGATGTTGAAGGCTGATTTCTCATTCAAATCTTCAAATACTTAAATAGAACATCAGCAAAAGTGGTTCAGATATGAAGTATACAAGATCAAAACACCACTAATATGCTGAAAACTGTTTAGTTTAATTTTCTATAAGCATACTATATTGTTAAATTTTCAACCATTTCTTCATTCTTTCTCTTTTGACTTTTCTCCTAATTTATACTGCTCCTGTTTGATTTTTAAGTTCTTGTCACTTTTTCTTCTTTCAAATCTCTATAGAATAAACTTTGTTACAGGAAAACCAGTAACTGAGTTCTTGCTTATTGATGACAAATAAATACAGTCCGTGAAATATTAATTTTTCATTTTGAAGTTACAAGTCCAAAAGCATTCAGTGCATTACTTGATTGAGACAAAAGCTAATATAGAGACTCAAATATTTCACAAGGAAAACATCTTGCAGAGGTTTGTTTCTCCAAAACAATATCTATGTATACATAAGGAAACACAATGAAGTATTAGTTACATTTTTTGTACTGGTATATATCCATGTTGGTCAAGCACAGCCAAATGGTTGATATGCCACACTGTGGATCTGATGTTCTGTGGTTTGCACTCTGCTACTACCTAAACAAAATCACACTACAGACTTTGGAGGTCTGAGTACTTTATAATGGTTCTGGTCAAATCCCCTATTCATTTATAGCAACCCACGAATAGGTAGTGGATGGTTTTGACTAGCTGCTTTCCCTGTATATTTAGTATCTCAGCTCAAAATTAGGGATGATTAGTTCAGATAGCCCTTGAGTAGCTTTGCATGAAATTTAATAAACAACACAAACAACAACATATATCAGATGTTTTCCACTAGGATTTAATGGGATATTAAAGGTATTGTTTCTGAGCTTAATTTGCTAACTTGGCTTAATTATAGTATATAAACTAAAATGATTATATTGTTATTTTCACTCTTACATATCTAGTTTCACTTTCTTGTACACTATTAAATGTCTTGTCTGTTTTCAAGATACATCATTCATTAATATAGCTAACATATAAAAATTATATAGTAATGGGATTTCTTAAAATAAATGTAATGTTAAAAGGTTCAAAACATATGATTCTAGTATTTATCCCTATAAATACTAGTGTAAAGCTAGGCCTATACCAAATCAAACCTGTAGTAACTAAAGCAGTACTTTTTCCTGCACATTTAAGTTTTAATCTTACTTTTTTTTTCAGTTCTGTTTTTACAAAAGTAACATTGCCACTCAAATTGATCAACAATATCTAGTATTTACATGTTAGTTTAGGTCTGTTCATTTTTTTACTTGCACGTTATCATGTGTTTGTTTGCACAACAGAATATCCTTATTGATCTAAAACGTGTTATAAATTAATCATTATGTAAAACCTGACATTAAACAAATCTAACTTAAGTATATTATACTACAGTGTACTTAAATTGGGTATGTACTGCTTTAACATGGCATTGCTTATTGATCTTCTTTCATAAATTTGATTTATAGCATTAAGTATAATTTATATTTGCTTTCAAAATATATTTTGTACAGTGTGATATGTTTAAATCAGTTAAGTTTCTTTGCTGACCAGTATGACAAATATATCTGGAAAACATTAAAAAATATTGGTAAATCTGTCAACTTATCAATATCAGATATTTGGAATAATTATTTATGACCAGATTTTTAAGACATATTTCAGATTGACATAAATTTAGCCATATTAGGAAAATCTATACCCAGGTCTTGATCAAATGTGGTCAGACCAGTCGAGTATATTCCATATCGGTATAGATGAAATCCGGATCTGAGCTGTTTTTATAAGCAACTGTGTGCTTGTTTAATGATCTTTTTTTTATCTGCATGTTAACAAACAATTAGTTAAATGTAGTGTAAAGTTTTAGTAATTTGTAATGAAGAATTACACAGTTACAATACCAGGAATATCCAGTCAGTGAGAATAAGAAATAAAGAGAAACAAAATTGTGAAATGAAAATACAACAGTTATTAATACCTGTACGTGCAATATTATATTAATAAGCTATGATGGCTTTTTTTACTCAAATGGTTAACTTGGAAGTTGAGACTTGCTCTATTTCATATGTTTTCATCAGGATTAACTTGGGCTGACATACTTCTTTGGGCTTACTGACTACTCTGACTTTACTTATAAATCTGGCTTTTATATATTTTAGTTGCTATATAGTGTTTGAGCATGGACTGTATAGAACTGGTTAGATAAACATGAGTTGTCTTATTTACGCTGCATCATTTTTACAGTTCTTAGGAATCTTTTCTATTGATATTTGAATCACTTGTAGGCCATTTCCATTTCTTCCGATCATGACAGCCTTGGTGAACTACTTTATGGCCACCATATAACATCTATGTGAACCTGCTCCTCTCGATGGAGAATCTGCAATATACTTCTGTAATCTGTGTCAAACAAAGTTTAAGCTTCCACCACTGAAGTGGGTGACATAATATAGTGTACTTTTTATTATTAGTATCAGGTGGAATATTATCAAGCTTGACAGTTTAGTTACTCAAGGTGATTTATTTATGTTAATAACACTTTATGATGATTTTTTGTATATCTTGATGGATCAAAATGAAATAAAGTGTGCTTTCCTGGTGACATATATACAGTAAGACCTTGCTTATCACCACCCCACTTTAAGCTGATTCATTATACAGCTCTTGTCTTTTTGCGAGAGTTTTATTTTTCCCGAGAGATAAAAAAATTATGAAAATCTATAACTCCCTGAACACTACTTTTTCATAATAATAGTAGTAGTGCACTAAATAATTTTTATGTAATAAAATAATGCAATAAAGAACATAGAATAATAACATGCAAAAAGCAAACAATGTCCCACAACTATCACAATTTTTCTGGCATTTCTAGCGACGCAATATGAACCGTTAAAATGTCATCCATCTATGCAATATTGTTCCTGTGGGAAGAAACGTTTTCTTAGGAAGCGATCTAGAAATCTGTGTACAGAAAACAATGTAGTATGATACGTCATTTGATAGACAAAAACCTTGCCTATCTATTGGTTATAACTAATATAGTCATAAACGTAAGAGAGAACTACAAGTATTGACAACTTCTGAAAGAGAGGATGTGACAGGTGTGTGTGACAGGAGGAGTCTGATTTTCTATTTAATGGATCTTTAACCAAACAAGGTTGAAGGCTAATAAAAATTTGCTTTTTTTCCCAGTGATGATGATATTATAATGAGTAATTTATGTTAAATTTCATACTTATTTTAGGGGTGATGAAGAAAATAGAAAAGAGGGAATGCTTAGAGAAACAGTCACAATTCTCACACAAGGGGAAATTCAGGATTTTTTAAAATATTGCAGCATTCATGTTCTTCATTACAAAGAGCCAAATGATGTCCACTGCCTCTCATACTACCTACTTCCTTACACCCTGGTGAAGCGATGCCAGTTTGATGTATTTCTTTGTGTTTTATGACTGTTTGTGTTCATTTACTATAATAAATAATACTGTACTGTAACAATCTGTGTTTACCAATACTTAAATAAAGCACTTATACATCATTCACAGGGAAGAAACAATGCCCTTGTTACATACCTCCATATATGTAATGTTATAATGACCCTGTTTAGAACTGATTCGTTTAGAGCTTCGTTCTCAGGAACCCTTCCTGAGCACTAAATGGGGTATTACTGTACATTCCTAATATATAAAGGCTACATTGATCCTCAGCATTTCATATATTAGACATTTGTTCATACTCACCACATATTTTTTATAGATTAAATCCAGATCTATCACCATAATGACAAATAGTTCTGGAAAACATTAAAACAATAAGCAGTTATTATACAGTTACAAATAATGTAAATACCAGGAATATGCAATGAGAATAAGAGAATCAAAATGATGAAATGAAAATCAACAGTTCTAAATACCTCTGAATAAGTTCACTTTTTTTAAGTGAGTGAAAAATCTAAAAGAATTTTATAAAATATCTGTCAGTTACATTAAATTCAAGCATTGTGTTTTTGTTGGTAAATTCTGTATTGTTGTGTAACATTGAATTATATTGGAGGTGACTTACATGTCCTGTGTATTCATTCACACCTTGATTGTGTAGTGAATAGATTGTCTAAATACATCAACAAAACATAATGAACGTGAAACTGTGAAAATATTTTTAATTTTGGTATCCCTTGGTAAAATACTTAAAACATGCTTTTACTATAATCAGTAAGATAACGCAATCACTATATTATAAATGTGTTACTTTAAGCATTATAAATTTTCTCTGATCAACATCATACTGAATATTGTGTTGTTTCCTTCTTACAGTATCTAGCCTGTATGTGTATATTTAATGCTGTTTCCTAACTTTAACACATATTTAGTGTGATTATTTTATTCAATCTTTGCTTCTCTAGCCTGTATAGGTAGACAATGCTTCAGTCTTGGTTTGAAGCTTATTTCAACCTTTAAGTAATAGTTAATATTTGAATAAGATCACTTCTGAACTAATATACTGCACAAGCGAGTTAATTTCCTCGTTTGCATTAACTACATGTATTTCATTTTCACATAGGTTCAGACACATATTTAAATATAATGATTTATCCTTACCTGTTTGTTTGTAATTTTTATGTTCATAATGTATTTTCAGCTGGGTGTAACCAACAATAGTGTTCGTGAAGCAATCATGAATGTCACTTACAGATACAACACAGAAAGAAAAACAGATAAAGAATTGATTACTGAAGAAGAGAACAGGTGAACTTTCCTTTCACTTTGTGTATTGTTTTTAAATTACTTTTGTATTCGGGTGCTTTGTGAACACTGTCAAAGGTTAATTAAATTTTCATTCAAAATGTTTTAACTTTGTGAACAGTTAAAAAAAAAAAATTAAGTGTGCCACAGCAAGCTTCCATTTCTTCCATGTTTTAAGTGAGTGAAAAACATTTTGGTGGTGTAAATCTTGTGTGAAAAGTCTAAAAGAATTTTATAAAATAGCTGCCAGTTACATTAAATTCAAGCATTATATTTTCATTAGTAAATTCTGTATTGGTGTGTAACATTGAATTATGTTGGAGGATTACACTGAACTACAAGGTGACTTACATGTCCTGTATATTCATTCACACCTTGATTGTGTAGTGAATAGATTGTTTAAATATTTCAACCAAAGATAATAAAAGTGAAACTGTGAAAATATTTTTAGTTTTGACATCTCTTTGCAAAATATTGAAAACATACATTTACTATAATATATATAAGATAACACAATTTTGTAGATTTGCTACTTTAAGTATTACAACTTTTCTCTGATCAACATCATACAGAAGAGTAAATAACTTAAGTAGTTAATTAACTGCTTTCTTTTGTTTTTCACTTAATAGTGTTAAGTCTCCCTGTTGGATATGAAAGAAATTCATTAATTCAAATATGAGTATAGAAGAATAGTGTTATTTTTGAGTTGAGTGTCACAGAGTCACACCTGATGAGAGTCTTTATGAGAGAAAATTTGCTACATGAAGATGTGTCAGAAACTGTAGTGTTGGTAATTTTAAACTGTTTGATCTTTTTTATTTGTAAGTTTCCACAAGCACCAAGATGTTTTATGGTTGGATAATCTTCCTGCTGCTTTAAAGTAATAATTTCTGTTTTGCTGTGAATGTGAAAAGTATGTTTTAAAGCCATGCTTACAACTAGTACTACAACTATTAACTCAGCTCAGAACTTTGTAATTTTATAATCGAAATTTGTGAAAATTCAGCTTGAGGCTACAAAATATGAAGCTGGATAAGAATGTGTTAGTCTCAAGATGTATTGAATTTAACTTTGATTTTGTTATATCATTTATAAGATTTGTTTATTTCACATATGTCTCAATAAAAAAGTTATTAATGAATGAAGTGAGAGTATTCAGTGAAACTTACATTTACATGTGAGGAATCTTATCTGAAACCTTTCAAGATGCACTCTAAGAAATTATTTTCCATAAATTTTCTAGGTAATGTATTTTCTGTATTTAGGAAAGACATGATATTGATATTGTAATTAGATCTCTTGATGTGTTACTTTATTATTTCTAGACAACTCAAACACAAAGAAATTTCAAGTGAACTTTTGGTACAATCAGCTGAAGGAGGATCTTTTGAACCTGTCATTCCATCAGCTCCAACTCTTACACAGAAAAATGTGCAGCTGTGGACAAACACTGAGTGTGTGGTGTGTTTAGAGAGTGAGGTCTGTATGGAGTAAAATGTTTCTTGGTAGATTGTACACATTTTTTATACATAATTAAGTAACACTGATATATATAAGTTTTTTACTAAGAGGATGATAGTACAGTTGTTTACATGTAATGATTTGAAATTAAGTGTGTGATTAAGAAACTGATCTTTATTTATAAAGTTAACTGGCAGTTGGTATAAATTTGTAACACATCATGACGTAAACTAAGTGTGTGGTTAACAAACTTCTTCTTTGGCAGTAAGTGTCACCGTCCTTCACATATGGTGCTATCCTCCAATCATTTTTATTCATTGCTAGGTCTTGTACAATTCGTTTTTCATTCACTTCTTCTTTAATCCAATCTTTCCAATGCTTTACTGGCCTTTCCTGTCTTCTCTTGTTGGCTACTGGAAGCTCCAATGCTCTCCTTTTTGCTTGTTTTTCTTTTCTTCACATGACCAAACCACCTCAGCCTCACTTTTCTTGTCTTTTCCTATGTTCCAAAGGTCCTGCCATTTCCTTATTTTCCTTATTCGTTCTCTTCTCTTTTAGTGACACTCCCAACAACCATCTCAGCATTCTCATTTCTTTTCTTATCAACAAGCCTTCTTGTTTCTTTTTCAGGGTCCAAGTTTCAGCTACATAGAGGAACTAACCTTTATTTATAAAGTTAACTTAACTAGCAGTTAGTACAAATTGTAACATGTCACAATGTAAAATTAAGTGTATGATTAAGGAACTGATCTTTATTTGTAAAGTTAACTAGCAGTTAGTACAAATTTGTAACACATGATGATGTAAAATTAGGTGTGTGATTAAGGAACTAACCTTTATTTACAAAGTTAACTCAACTAGCAGTTGGTACAAATTTTTAGCACATCATGATGTAAAACAAGTGTATGATTGAGGAAATCGCCATTTTTATAAAGTTAACTTTACTAGCAGTTTGTAACACATCAAGATGCAAAATTAGGTGTGTAATTAAGAAAGTGTTGTTTATTCAAAGTAAAACCTGTCATCTTCAGCTCTGGCCCTACAAACATGGTATATTTGTTGTTGGGACCTTTTGGTCGTGATGCCATATCGTCATGATTCGGCTCTTTATCTACGGGACTTTCATATGGCCCCATTTTTGAGACATTTCATGTTTGACATAAAACACGAGTCTTTGGAGTCAAGGGTGGCTTTGGTCCAACAAAAGTTCATCCTTTCTCATCTGGTGGTCTGTTTGTCCCAGTTATATAAAGTTAACTTAACTAGCAGTTTGTAACGCATCAAAATGCAAAATTAAGTGTGTAATTAACAATGTGTTATTTATTTAAAGTACAACCTGTCATCTTCAGCTCTGGCCCTACAAACGTGGTATATTTGTTGTTGGGACCTTTTGGTCGTGAAGTCATATTGTCACGATTCGGCTCTTTATCTACGGGGCTTTCGTATGGCCCCATTTTTGAGACGATTCAAGTTTGACATAAAACCTGAGTCTTTGGAGTCAAGGGTGGCTTTGGTCCAACAAAAGTTCATCCTTTCTCATCTGGTGGTCTGTTTGTCCCAGTAGGAGCCAAGTATGGCACCGATTCCAGTCTCCTGACCCTCCCCTTTCCAGCCCTCGCCTGTTCCTCCCTCCCACGATACCACAATTCGTTGTTTTTCACAACTACGCATGGTTCGTCAACAATGGTTTCGGTGACTACCTCTTGGGTTCAGATCTGGTGGGAGTTTTTCAGGTCCTTCATTCATCAGTGAAACCCTTTCATCTCTGATGTTTGGTTTCACCGAGGTTTGTCTGAGGGATTCGTCATACTATTTCTTACCCTTTGCGGACGATCTACGATGGTGGTTGGACAAGCCTCATACATCGGCGGTTGTTCCGATTCCTCCTCCGTGATTTACATCTGTGCATGAATGCATTCCTTCAGGGCTAGGGTGTGTGGGTCGATCACCAAGAGGTTTCGAGTGATTGGTCTGTCGAGGAACGTTCTCTTCAGTTGAGAACTGTTTACTATAGGAGAGTAAGATATGTAATACTTTTATACTATACCAGGACCCTAGGCTTTTACTTGTGACATTAAATATTTTATTTGATTTTATCACATTTAGTTTAGTTGGGCAATTCTTTTGCCATCAGCTAAAGTACTGTTTACTGAACTTTTGAGACAGTTGTAAAATGAATTTCAGGAAAGAATTTGTCCCTAAATAGTTTCAAATGAAGATCTAACAATATGATGGGATTTGTGATGTCTAACTTGATTCTCTCAGAGCTATATGTAATGTATATTTTTTGTTATCTTTTTATAGTGATCTGTTCATTTTATTGAATACCTATGCCTACACCTAACCTTAACTTTACAGAGTAACTTTAAGGAATTAATTACTAAGCCACCAAAAAAAAAAAGCTTATTGTTAGTAAACTTATGATTATCTTGACATTGAGTTTTGTTTTATCTTAAAATGCAAGAACAGGTTGGATAAAGCATATTTGGGAAGGTATTTTTTCTTGAAATTAGGCCAAATTTCACTTGTTTTATAATTCCTTTTTAGAGTGCTGTGATCTTCTTACCTTGTGGTCACGTATGCTGTTGTTGGACTTGTGCTGAACCTCTGGTTAACTGCCCAATGTGTCGCAGTTATATTCAAAACAAATTATTTCTTGGTGGTTCATAAAACATGTAAGAATGTATTTTCTTACTAACTTGCTCTAAATGTGTGTTGTAATACAGTATAATATTCAAGTTACCTAAGCTTTAACACCTGATGTACGAGTCAACCAGACCAAAATTGCAGTTTTTTTTGGGAGAAATGATTGAGCATTTTTCTTCTCATCAGCATTAGATACATTACATTGTGCTTTCCACCATTCCATCTCTGCCTCAGCTGTGCCTGTTTCAAGATGCTCACACCAGTCACTAGTCAAAACCTAATATCTGACCCAATCTGATCTCTTTCATAACCACTTTCGTCATCTGTTGACTCTTGATCTTCTGTGTATAGAGTTTGTAGGACCTGTACTATCTTGGAAGGTATATAAAAGTGAGGTGTTTTGTTGGGTTAAAAGCCATGGACAGTCACAGATAGTCAATCATACAATAGTGTAGACTAGGAATAATGAGAAAGGATTATGCTTGTTTGATTCCAGAGATCAAGACAAGTCGTTTGGTGTATTTATAATAAAGGTATCTTTAATCTGGGAAAGGGTTTTTTCCAGAAATATCTCCCCCCCCAAATTGTCTAGTAGATTTGTGCATTGGATGTTAAATCTTTTCAACACTACAAAACAAAATTCTAATCATTTTTACATAAATATAGTATTTTTCCTTGTATTTTACTTTTATTTATATGTAGAATATGATTGAGGTTTAAAAACATTGCAAGGAAATTTCTAAGTTGTTTGTAGTGTAAATACTAGTTTTTGAACAAAGCATTACTACTATGTCAAAACTGTTGTCTCAGTTCTTTTGCTATGAAGAATTTCAATTTTAAGCAAAGTCTGAGCTATCGAGGTACTTTATCACAGTATAGCATTTTCATCAATCAACCTATTTGAGTGATTTACATAGACAAAAAAACAACAACAGTTAATCCATGAGCTCTATCATTTTTGAGGTTCGGCATGGCCAGGTGGTTAGGGTGCTCGACTCGCAATCTGCGGATCGTTGGTTCGATTCCCCATCACACCAAACATGCTTGCCCTTTCAGCCATCAAGGCATTATAATGTTACAGTCAATCCCACTATTCATTGTTAAAAAAGTAGCCCAAGAGTTGGCAGTGGGTGGTGATGATTAGCTGCCTTCCCTCTAGGCTTACACTGCTAAATTAGGGATGGCTAGCACAGATAGCCCTCATGTAGCTTTGCACGAAATCCATAACAAACAAACAAACAACATTTTTGAAGAATTGCCTCTATCAAGAGCAATAGAAGATAAATGTGGTATGAAATGTTAGTAGATATGGTGAAGAAAACTAATCAATAAAGTGATTGGAGGAATGTTTCATGACAAATAGAAAAGGCTAGGGAATGAGATAAAAAAAATTATAGCACAACATAATATAAAAAAACAGAACAAAACTCAATGAAACATTATAGAAAAAAAAATAAGACTAAAAATCTCTTAAATATAAAGATATATATATATATGTATATACACATGGAAGAATATTGAAATTAATGAAAACCAGATTTTCAAATGCTGAACTGAATAAAATAGAGATCAATTTACCAAAAATAAAACAAAATAATCAAATGTCTTAAATTAATATTTTCTTACATAGGTTAGAAAATATATTTCCATTTTTTTGAAAATTGCAAAAAGTAATACAATAAATCTGACCACTGAATAGAACAAAGAAATTTTTACATATTTTTTAAGCTCTTTCGAACTACCTTTAATATATTTTATCATTCCAGAAGATTGCCACTACACTCTTGTTCCAGTAAAACCATCTTGTAAGCTTTAAGCTCAACTGATATGACTGATTTTGTTGTTAAGTTTTTTTTTAAGGTGTGTTGCATTATGTTATTTATTTTCATGTTCATAGTTTGATATGTTTCTTATAACTAAAATAACAACACTTCAGTGATCTATTTAAACATTTAGTATATTTATCACAGTAAAAACTACTTAACTTATATTGTTCCTATATTACATTGTAATCATTGTTAGAATAAAATGTACAGCATTAACTATATTACACAGAGAGTTCATTGTGTCTACAGATTTGTCATTTTTCCTGTTTTTGGAGGTTCCTGATTTCTTCCCTCTAACTTTTGGCCAAAAGTTCCTGACTTCCCTAATTTTTAATTTGCATATGATTAAAAGTATAAAACACTGCTCAAAATCAGCCTTGAAATAATTTCAGGACATCTAATATCCAAGAGGTTTTGGTGCCTCAGGTAGGCTCCAACCTCTGACTTATGGTTTGTATTAATGAATGTATATATTAACTTTCATGTTAATTAGGAACATCTTTTTAACAATCATATTGAACATAAATGCTGTGAGATCTCTTTATGTGGATGATTCAAGCTTCATTCATTCTTTTCATACAGCTTGAAAGATTGTGACTGCTTGGAATTCTAACATTTTTTAAGATGTTTTCCTTAAAAATTTGACAATTCCAAATTTTTGTGAAGAGATATCCTTGTAAACCTTTGCCTTAGTCCAGTCTTATATTACTATAAACAAAGTATTTTATCTATTCTATGCTGTACCTGAAAAAAGACTATTCATATGTACAACTAAAAGATCAAGATATGAAAATGTTTATTTCTTTCATAGAATGCCATGTAAAAAAGTTTTTTGTTTAAGTACGTTAATTATAAAAGGATGTCTGTAATAGCCAGCTCTGTAGACACATCACTGTGAGTGTTATTATTATTTTTCATAACAACACCCTATGGGTATAATATTGAAATAATATTTTTAAATGTTCCTGTAATTTCATTGTTGACTCCTGAATTTTTCTCCATCTTGTTCCTGGTTTCTTTATTTTTTTCACAAACTCTGTAGACACATCACTGTGAGTGTTATTATTATTAAAGATATCTTGAAGGATATAATGTATGTCTATTGTTGTAACAAACACCAAATCTCATTAATGAGGCTTGTTTTACAAAGTGTATGATACATATAGAAGACATGTAAAAACAGGTCATTATAATCACAACTTACCATAACATGACTATTGGCCTGCTACAGTAAAGTAATCAAGTTGCCCAACTAAATTTTTGCAACTATTAAAATTGATGAAAAATAGAAGAGGTGAATATAATATTATATATGGAATTTTGAGTCTGTCTTACTTCAAGAAAAGAAATATTTAACATGTATACAATGAATATAATATTGTTTTACAAGTCTGACCATCCAACAAATAAAACAAACTATAAAAGTCCTTGATTATCATCAGTTGCCTTCAGCATTGTTAATGTTGTATTATTCTATTTCTCATAAACAACAATTTATTTGAATTTATGAAACTTGTTAAAAATATCTTGCTTTGAATAACAAATACTGAAAATATTCCTGCGTGGAAACAGTTACACATCCATTATTTCTTTCAATGGTCCATCAGGTTTTGCTTGTCATGTAATTAACCTTCTTTTATTTAGTTTTTTTCTTATTTCAGGAATCTTTATTCTATATACTTCAGGTAGAAATTAATCACAGTTAAAAGAATAAACTTATATATATGAATAAAGTTCAGCTTCTAGTATATATTCCTTATCTATCGATAATACGTGAAGAATCGGCTTCCAATAACCAAACTGACTGAGCTCAAAAGAGGGCTCTAATCAACTTATATTTAGGAAAATAAAGTTGGTGGTGAAACTGAACTTGTGACTACCAGTAAATATTAAAAACTGCATATAGTAAAAATAACTTGGTAAACGAAGATACTTTTGTTTAGATGTAAACGTAAAAAGCAGGTCCGTTAAATGTTTCTTTTTGTTATTCCAAATTAAAATGTTAACCAATTTAACGTATATTTGTTAGCATTTTTTAGAGAAATTGAAAGCTTGAATTTTTTTTCAAACAACTTTACTTTGCACTGTATAAAAACACTTCTTAGATATTGTTACATAAATCATAACAAATATTATGGGATTTCAGTATAGAAACGATTTACTGTTTTTGATATTGTTACATAAATTATATCAACAAAGATTATGGGTTTTCAGTATAGAAATGATTTACTGTTTTAGCTATTGTTACATAAATTATAACAACAAAGATTGTGAGATCTCGGTATAGTAATTATTTATTCTTTTAGATATTATTACATAAATTATATCAAGAAAGATTATGGGATCTCAGTATAGAAATGATTTACTATTTTAGCTATTGTTACATAAATCATAACAACAACTATTATGGGCTCTCAGTACAGAAATGATTTACTGTCTCAGCTGGCATAATATAGTCAAGCAATATACTTCTCTTGTTCTGTTTTCAGCATGGATGCTACAAATGTAGTAAACAAACTGATTTTCAGAAATTTGTAATTATTCACCAATTTTTTGAAAAATAGTAATTCACAGTTATTGCTGCCGTAGTTATCTTTACTTTTATCAGGAGGCCCGGCATGGCCAGGTGGTTAGGGCACTTGACTCGCAATCTGCGGGTCGCGGGTTCGAATCCCCACCAAACATGCTCGCCCTTTCAGCCGTGGGGGCGTTATAATGTGACGGTCAATCCCACTATTCGTTGGTAAAAATCTGCGCTAGCCGTCCCTAATTTAGCAGTGTAAGACTAGAGGGAAGGCAGCTAGTCATCACCACCCACCGCCAACTCTTGGGCTACTCGCTACAGCACATAGATGAACTGAAACGGTATTCGTTTGGTGAAAGTATTCTCACTTTAGTTGCTTAACGTAATATTTTTAGTAAAGTAAAATTAATTATTACTTATCAAATCATTTAAAACATCTAAGATGTCTCTCGGGACTCCAAGATAAGAATAAGGCTAATACTACTCGTAGTACAAACAAAAATGTGAATTAGTAATCTACCAGCATAATTGCTTCCCGGGAAAAGCAAGTACTTAGAAATTATTTTAATCAACTAACTAACTAACTCCACTTTGAGAAATGGTTGAAAGGATTCTGATTGGAAATATGTAGCATCTAGACTGTCTCTTCTTTGTTGTTGTTTTTTTATTTGCTGAAGATTACTATCGATCGTTTATGAGATATTTCAATATCCACGACACCATCCAGTACGGAGTTATAAATTTCAAATGAATTTTATTTCGTTAAATACAATCTCTTATGTGCTCTAATTTCAGTGAAGTGTAATCCAGGTTACCGAGAAACTCACCTAGGCGTGAAGTTATCTGGTTCAGCGTAACTGCAACTGACTCTGTTTGCTAAGCCTTACTATTTATTATCCGTTCTGTTTGTTAACTGATGTCGTCATGGTGACTTAAAAAATCTGTTCCAACCATCGGCGCTAGGAAACCACAAATTGGTAAATTCGTAAAGACTGGTCGAACTTCCAATTCGATATTGTTTATTTTGTGTTTAGATATATATACTTTTTATACTTTTTATCTAAGTTACTAGTAGTAATTTGTCATGAAGCTTCATTTTCTAATGTCCTTTAATAATAAAAAATGCTAAGATAAACTTAGTAGTTTCCTGCTTCTGTGACAATTTTTTTATTGGCGTTAGGATGACGATCAGTTCAGTATTGAAGAACTGTTGAATGGATACTTTACAACTTAACAGTTTGTCATTTCAAACTACTTCTACTTCCAGCTGGTGTTATTTAATTTGATGTTGTCTTCCCCTTAAGTTATTTTTACACTTTGTGCCTTTGCTTATTCTTAATGTTTTAAATGTGAAGCTTCTGCTTCTTTTCCTGTTTTTCAACAAAGGCAAGTTAGTACTAAAATGTCATTAATACTATTGTACTTTTGAAATACACTCCTTGTATCGTGTCTGCTCACGTGACCTGCTGTCAACTAATGAATGGATGAGTTTTATTCAAAAGAAGGTGACAAAGTAACATGGCCTGTAGTATCACCAGCTGAGACCCCTCTGTAACAAAAGTCCACCTCGTTCATCACACGACTACTTCAATGGGGAAACTTTTATCTTACTGCAACTCTCAAAACATTCATTATACAATATCGAATCAATTGTTGTTTGGAAAAACAAAATCGAGAGAAGGGATTTTACCCTTGTGTAATGCCTTCTCTCTACATAGTTTTTCCAAAACCTATGCATCAATGTCTTCGAGAGAGAAAAAAAGAAGCACCTTTGGTACATAGATATATAGTTTGGGGATACGCGATAAAACTGAATCGTTCACTTTACAGTGCGTTAATTACTATTGAAACGATGAATATACATACATAGATATATATAAAGATATTAACATTATTGTGAGGCCGGTCCTAGTGATCAGAGTGTAGACCTGTTGATCGAAATGAGACCGCTAACCATAATCTACACTTTCAACCATGGATGCGTTATAAAAGTGATAGTGAATTTTGTTATTCGGTTAAAAGAGCCCTACAAAGGCCTTTCGGCGGCGGGTGTTGTTTAACCTTCAAGTGTAAACTTTCCGTTTAGGTTGAATATTCCGATTCCTTTATTGATTTGTTTCAACAAAAATATTGTTCTATTCAAGCCATCACTAAAATTAATAATATAATAACCTAATTGTTTGATACACCCTAAAATGAATAATAATAACTAATTGTTGGACACACCCTAAAATTAATAATAATAACCTAATTGTTGGACACACCACTAAAATGAATAATAATAACCTAATTGTTGGACACACCACTAAAATTGAATAATAATAACTAATTGTTGGACACACCATAAAATGAATAATAATAACCTAATTGTTGGACACACCATAAAATTAATAATAATAACTAATTGTTGGACACACCACTAAAATGAATAATAATAACTAATTGTTGGACACACTATAGAATTAATAATAATAACTAATTGTTGGACATTTGCATTTTTTGTTATATACTTTTTTCTTACTTTTGTTGTAGTTGTTTTTTTTCCCTCTTTTTTTAACAACATGGATTACAGAATCAATAGGAATATAAAAAGGAAAGAAAGGTAGTTCGCTGTTTTGCAGTTCATATGAAAGCTATGGTTAGAGCAATAGACCAGTGACGTCGAATGCCTTAAAAAAAGAGACCTAAGTGTCTTACAAACACTCGTTCAGGATATTTCCCACAAAACTGTTTGCACGGTGAAAACCTTTTGTCATCACTGGCCGCGGAGACTATTATGAACATCTTTATGTTTCGTTGGAAAATACTTAATAATGCTACTCGTTGGGTTTCTTTCTCTTTTTTTGGTTTTACTTACATACCAAGAATTCTTTCTGCGCCTGATTTACTTGCTGGTATTTCAAATATGTATCAATACTCGATTCATACAGCTCAGAGCAAGTTAAGAGATATGTCCATGTTTTAAAAAATGTTTCTTACATAACTGAAAGATTTCTTGAATTGAAAATAAAAGTAACATTTTATATATTTGTATTTATGGTAAACTTACTATTGCCATCTGCTGACGTCTTTCATTTTGAAGTACTGGTCAAATGGAAAACAGCCAGTCAGTACCCTACTGTTCACCATCCACGCTAAGAGACTGAGTGCTACAGCTTAAAGTGCAGGGAATATTTTGTGGTATCGCACAGATTCGAACCTGGTTCGCCAGCTTCAAAATCCAGAGAGTCAACTTGCACTCCAGTAACCGAAAAACTAACACTTATCATATCTGTTCAGTAAAAAATCATGGAAAAGTTGACGCTAGCACTTTAGTGCAAACATTAAATTTCATAGAAATAATTTGCATTTCTGGTTAACTAAAGTATGTTTATAGCTACGTAGTGAAGGAATTGTATGTATTTTCTACATCTATCAGCTGCAAGGAGTTGCTTACAGTGCAAACCAATATATAGACTGTCGTTATAGTTTATAGCACCTTGGTAAATACCGGGTACATTTTATGTAACAGCAAAAAAATATATTTGTTACATACATTAACACAATCCTTCCCAAATTTACAAAATTTCTATACGATATAAAAGTGCGTGTTATATGTATATATTCGCGTTCCTCATTCCAAATAACACTCACCACTAAATTTGGACTATTCTAATCAAATAGTTGGATCTGACCATCACTATTATAACGAATTTACAAACACAACGTACGGAGCGCGAGTCTGAGACAATAAGATGCGAACCATGGACCCTCGGATTCTTTGTTGGGCATGCTAAACACTAGGCCAAGCTAATATTAGATGTTAGATCCAGCAGGAGAGAGGCTTTTATATACTAACATACTACAATAAAGAGCCTGAGCCTATCTAAGTCAAGACAACATTTCATTTAGTCCCCCCCCCTCCAGTAGCTCAGCGGAAAGTCTGAGGGCTTTTCATGCTAAAACTCGGGTTTTGATACCACCGGTTGGCAGAGCCCAGACAGCCTATTGTGTAGCTTAGGGGTTAAAAAAATAGACAAAACTTCATATATATACAGCCAAACTAATAATAAAAAGTCAATAACTTATTCAAAATTTATTGTCATGCATAATTGTGATCCAGATAGAAAGCACCTAATCAGTATTATTCATCGCCGCAACGAACTTTGTCCGCGTCTTTGAACTAATAATGGAATTGACTGTCGCTTTTATAACGCTCCCACAGCTGAAAGTGCAGAGCGTTCAGCGA